ATTGGATAGTATGTAGCTGATGGTGATGACGGGAAAATATCATTGCGGACAGTTGTGACTGGTACTGGATGTTGATATGAAGTTGTTGCGTGTGAATATGGTGGGTTAGATGAATATGAGAATTGAGACATAAATATTTGATGCGGTGAATAAGGATCTAATGGAGTTTGTGAAGGCCATATTGATACTGAGGGTGAGGGTGAGGGTGGTTCACTATAGATTTCGGTGCTTTCACCGAGATTCAACAAAGATGTTACAAATGTGAACATCCGTATAATTCTAATTTGACTTATTATCATTGTTCGAAATGTACACGAATAGTATGTTGTTCTTGTAGTTATAATGTTCCCACAATATCTGTTGGATCTACTCTAGTTCGGTTTCTTTGATTGTATTGTGGATGCATATATCGGCATATATATACTTCCATAAAGATGTCTGTTAAAAAAACGAACACATTGGAAGTATATATATGCCGATATATGCATCCACAATACAATCAAAGAAACCAAACTATACAAAATAAAATAAAATAAATTAGGATTTAAATTCTATAATAGAGAAATAATTGGGGAATAGAGGAAGAGCGGAATAGAGGAATGACAGAGGAATAAGAGAGGAATAGTCGGGGAATAGCGACCGACCGACCAGAATACATTTTGAAACATTTGAAACTATATCCATTTTATTATATTCAATGAGGATTACATATACGAAAAGCAAATAGTCATAGATAATGTTTGATCAATAATTCTATGAAGACATTAGTTCGAAAAGATATGTTATAGATCATTTTAAAGTCCGTTTAATTACATATAAGATTCTGTTAAGAACATCGAACTCGCAGAGAAAAATGAATAAATACGGTAGAATAGGCTTTTTGGACCGATGCTCAGAAATTATTAAAAATTCTACCATATAGTAGTCTACAATCAACTTTTAAGGCGCAGAAATATTAAAAACTAAATAACGAACGGTTCCTGATCAGTTTCAGTCGTTATCTTCTTAAAAGTATATAGAGCCATTTTCTTGGAGAAATCGTTCCCCGTCCTTTATTTTATTAAAAATAAAAAAATAAAATAAAAATATAAAATGAATACACAAAATTAGTCTTAGATTTATTAAATATTATTTCAACGGTCAATGTATCAATTTTTACCGCAGAAAAAAAATGTTGACACACCGGATATCACAGGATAACTTCAGAATCACATATTTATTGACAGAATTATCATTAGATTGATCATTAAAATTCCCAACGATCGTATTTAATACCTTTCCAAATAATTTTGATCAAAACAGCGTTAGCTAAGCAAAAAAATGCCCAAAACCAAAACGTTTTAAATACACGTGGAATTGAAAACCAATTTCTATATGATTTACTAATAAATTCCAGGCGCTTTGTCTTGGTTTGTGCATACGGTGGATTTCTGATTGCAAGCAAACTATCTCCGAAGTTTGATGAAAAAGCAACTGCACGTTTATGACTAAATGTATCGAATGAATATTTTCCATGATAATGACCAAGTCCCGAGGGTCCAACGCCGCCAAAAGGTAATGCGCATGGTGCAGCTTGTAATATAACATCGTTAACACACACAGATCCCGAACTTGTTCCACTAATTATTCTTTTTGCTAAATTCTTATTGCCTGTAAATACGTAGAGTGCTAATGGTTTTGGATTATTGTTGATAAAAGATATTGCTTCAGTTTCATCATTAACATTGACAAACGGTAAAATAGGCCCGAAAATTTCTTCCTGCATCACTTTATCGTCCTTGGTGACATTTGTCATTATTGTTGGTGAAATGTAATTATGATTTTCATCACATTGTCCACCATAAGCAAGTTTCGAGTGATCAATTAACTTTTCAACACGTTTAAAATGTCGATCATTAACTATGTGTGCATAAGAATGTGATTCTAACGGATTTTCGGTATAAAATTCTTCCCAAGCTTTCACAACTTCTGGTATAAGACGTTGTTCAGTTGCTTTTGAACATAATAAATAATCAGGAGCCACACTGTAAAATAAAGAATTCGTATAGTAATTAATATATATGATGTACTCATACGAAATTCAATTACCATGTTTGTCCGCTATTAACACATTTGCCCCATGCTATACGTTTTGCCGCTATTTCGATATTAGCATCATCAGCTACATAAACGGGGCTTTTACCACCACATTCCAAAGTAACTGGTATCATTTTATCTGCTGCAGCTTGCATAATTATTTTACCAACTGCCGTCGAACCTGTGTAGAAAATATAATCAATATCGCCTTTCAATAATGCTTGTGTCTGATCAGCACCGCCGAGTACCGTCTTGATACACTGTATGTCTAAGTAACGCGGTAACATATCAAACATGGCTTGTGCACATTTTGGTGCTAATTCACTCGGTTTGATCACAGCGCAATTCCCTGAAATAATCAATAACAAGGTCATCTACGATTCGCTCAGTCCCTTGACTTCACCTCTACTTCATACATTAACAATGCATTATGCACAGGGAATTATGACTTTCAACATTGAACACATTTCTCACGCTTACCTTCGGTCGGCGCTCGCACACGCATCTCTCGAGCTAAGAGTTGCCATGCTTCCAGGGTGGCCAAGTCTCCTGATTTGACCTTGAGACTCCAGATTTTTAGACTTTTTCCCCGATAAAAATTCTCCTGATTTCAAGAGCTGATTTTTAATATTTACTTCTGATTTTCAATTCTTTTCCTGCGTCGATTGTACCGAATTTTATAATTATCTCTTAAATAATCAGGAACTGTTAAAACAAATTCGCTCATCAGAAAAACACAGCCATGTTGCAAAAATACCACGGACAGTGTAGCAAACAGTTTGTTCTCCATATTCGCTTTATTTTGTTTTGGTTCTTGTAGTTTTCTTTAAAAATATTTGTCTGTTTTGTTTATATTGTTAAATGAAAAGCGATGAAAATACCAGTAAAATAAACTATATGTGATCACCTTTTTGTCTTTTTCTTGGATATTATTAAAAGACGCGAACACCCCCAAGTTAAAATCTGAGTTAGCCAATCGATAGAGCTCGTCGGGCTGAGTATAGCCACGCCAAATGAACACCCAAAAAAGGTTTTATAGCTTCGCTTTGTAAGCATTGTCGCTAATTCAGATTTTAATTTGGGGATGTTCGCGTCTTTAGTAATACCTCTTTTTCTTTGTTTTGCTCGTAAGACAGACCTTCTTATTACTGGCTTGGTAGAAAAAAAATCACAGACGTTTGTGGAAATGAGAATTTTGCTTGTCCAAGAAAAAACTGCTTGGTACTCTTCTGTTTTTCTCCTGATCTTTTAGAAAAGATCTCCTGATTTCTAATCAGAAATCTAATTTGATTTGGTCATTCTGCATGTTTCATTGTCCTCTTGCTAAACTTTTCCGTGTAACTCTGCAGAACTTCATCGTGGAAGACTTAGATGTTTTTTTCATTTCTAAGTAATTATGGACACTCAGCTATTTTGCATGGGGTAATTATGGACACTCCGTGCAAATCGCACGGGATAGACAGAAAACAACTTCTGCTGTCTTTCAGAAACAGATTTTGATACCATGCTAAACGGCACAATTGTTCAGAACCATGAGCTCCATCATATATGTAAAAACCGGATAAAAAAAGTGTATTTTCATCGTTTCCTGTAGAGAATATGAATACTGCTGTTTTTGAACGGTCTTTCGTTCACTAAAATTATAAGAAACATTTAATTAGAACCTTAAT